TCCCTCCCTCCCTCCCTCCTTCCCTCTACTTGCATGAGTATTTGCATAACTGGATTTTCTATGTGAGAAAAAGTAGTTATATCCAAAGCTAAAATACTTAATTACATTATATAATTTTGGGACATGGCTTCTTTCAAGTATACATACAGACACAAATATAGGCACATATGCTACATGTTTGCATTTGTAGGATAGACATAAAGGGCAATCTCCAGATTAGTTTTAGTTGTGGCAATTTTAGGATTGACAAAGTGGACAAATGTATTATGACATATAACCTTTGCCATGTTTATATTTTTATCATCTCTTTTGTATTAGAATTAAAATTGGATCATCTTGAAATCTTCAACAACAACATTTAAGAACAAAATTTCCCTCCCCCCCCCTTGCTAAATATAGTAGTGAGATGTTTCTTTTTCTTTTGCACCAAAGATTATTCAGATTAAAAACCCCTACAGCAATCGTTCCTTCAAAAATATAAAAGGCTACAGTTACTTTGTTTTGTCTCTAGGTTTGATATAAACTCATGGATTTTTTGTGAGACAGAAACTATAACTTTTTTGCCAATTTCTTTTTTTTTAATTCCCTTCTAGGGTTACTATGAAAGTTACTTCTTAAAGAAGATGTTGCTAAGTTAATTTAAATTGACTGTATTACTCAATGAACCCTTCAGCTGCAATGAGAACACAATAGTACATTTTTAGATTCCCTGCTCCTCACAATTTGCCAAATCCAAAAAAAGTAACTTTTCACAAGGATACTACAGAGTCAGTGTTCTTCAAAGGGCAATTACTTTGTTATCTGAAATATTATCTGAATATATTCTATTTGGTCAACCAGTTAAAAAGATGCTCCGCTACTGGGGTGAGATCCCTGTTTCCTCCAGTCAGACCAACCGCAGCTCTTTTGACTTGCTTCAGCGGGAGTTCCGCACTGTAGAGGTCCAGGATCCTCCATTGCATCAACCTTCGGCTAACAAGTCTAAGCCCACAACCACGCTTGATAGTCCTTCAGAGCCCTGTAGCCTCACCATTCATACGGTCCAGCTAATCCAACATAACAGGAGGTTGCGTAGTCTCATTGCCACGGCCCAGACTCAGAACCAACAACAACTGGAGGGTATCAAGATGGAAGGAAGTGAGTCTTTGCCAACTTGTCCTGGGTCTCCACCTCTCCCTGATGACTTGCTTACTTTGGATAGTAAAACACCCAATATGCCATTCCAGTTGAGGCACAGTGATCCAGAAAGTGACTTTTACAGGTATGTTGTGAGATCTTTGGTATGGTGACCATTGGATTAGGCTGTACAAATCTGAAGTTTACATTTCACTGTGCTCAATACCATTTCCTCTTCCATTTCCATTATCTTAATTTTAAACAAGTCTTTTCTTGTGAAATGATCCGCTGCTGGATTCTGGTCCCTTAAGTAAATCTACAAAGATACAGAATTGACCTATTTGTTCATTATAGGTGTGAAAGGCTTTTGCTGTATGGATATAGTCTATTTTTGAAATCACTCAAAATACCATATTTACCTTTCATATCACAGGTGTCAAACTCGCCATATCACATTGCCATCATGTGATGTTTCATGACATTTTTCCCATTTGTGGAGTTTGGGTGGGTGTGGCTTGCATGTGACGCATCCAGCTTGTGGGCTGCCAGTTTGACATCTCTATTTCATATGATTAATTTTAATCTATGGCAGTCATTCAGAAATAACTAACCTTTATAAGATGGAATATCAAGAACTAAGCATGGCAGGTTTGGGACACCTCACCACTTCAAATCTCTGCCCAGAATCCCATTTCTGTTTAATATCCTGGGGTCTTAGGCTGTAATGGATTAATCATATCATGTGTTGTTTTATTCTGTCCCATATTCTATAGCAATCTGCCAATGAACTGCTGCCTCTTATTTTTTTGAACCAGCACAGTAAATTGTCTATGTATTCTGAGATTGCTAGAGTCTCAGAATACTGTATTAGAACTAGTGAAAAATGCCTGGCTGTCACTGATGACAATATTTAAGGGTGGCACCTGCTGCAAATTTCAAAGCAAAAGCAAAAGGTAATTAGGAAAGGAATTGGTATTGCTAGATCAAAATCAGAAAAGGTAGAGAACAAGCTTTTCTATTTTTGAATACTGGATGCTAGGCAATCTTTTTTATAATTTACTAGCATCATTCTTTGTTTTATCTGGAAGGAATTTTGTATCAGGAAATGGATTTTTGTTTCACTTCAGTGCCTCGAAAATACAACCCAGCAGGTGTAATGTTTTATAAAATAGAAGCAATTGTAAGAAAGCCATCTTTGCTTTCCTGGACCTGTTTTCAAACTATCATTTATCTTTGAAGTGGCCAATAGGTTCAGCCTATGATTTTATTTGAATAGACCTCAGCTTTTTCTTCACTGTCAAATCAGCCCAAATTCCTTCATCATCATGCACTTATTAAATGGGGAATAGACCATTGGAATCGGCTACTTAAAGTTGCTTTGTGATAGGGTTTCATATCACTTCCTCTGAGAATGTTTAATGGATAGTGATGAAAAAAAATGACCCATTATGTAATGTCTGAAATTTCACTAATACTAAGCCATGTTTGGTTTATTTAGCTTATCAGATGTGTGGTTGTTTTGGAAGTATATAATCTCTCAGTCAGGAAAGAATAGGGAGATGCTAATATTCTACTGTTCAGAGCTGTCTGCAGCATGAGGAATACCAACTTAATAGAACATGAATTACACAGAAAAGGCATCAAGTGCAGGTTTGGTAGGATTGCAAAAAAACCCAAACCCATTTAAATCTCAAGAGATATTCCTCAATTTGCTTGAATCTGATGCCTTCCAGATGTCTTGGAGGATACTAACCAAGGATGAAGGATGCTCTAAGGGAGACACTAAGTTAAGCAAGGCAGATTTATGCTATATTGAGCTTGAGGGATTTATGTTGCAACTTTGTATTTTACCATTATAATTCTACATTGTAGTTTGGTTAATCAGGTTTTGGGGATCTGAACAGAAAAATTAGATTTATCAGTTCTCTGTATGTTATTAGACTGTCAAAAATTTTAAAAATATAAAATGTTCACAGAATTGAAGTTTTTCTTACTGTTTGCTTGATCTATAGTTAAGGTTAAACAGAAGCTGATTTTATTTTCCAGAATATGATCTGTAAAAACTACAAGATCTTAGTCTTTAGTAGAATGGAGATTCTTTATAAGGTTCTGTAGTTATTTTCATGAATGTCAATTTTAGGGAATCTTAATCTAATAGCTTTGACATATTTAAGAAGTAAACTTGGAGTAAATACTACAAATATTCATTATTTAACTTTAGCCATACTGACTCTTATAGCACGGATAATTAATATCTTGTAATTAATATGAATATGTTGCTTTGAGCTAAAATATAAAAAGTTGCATATGATGTTTTAAAGTAAACACTGTTAACTCTGATTTTTTTTTTGCAACGGCATTCTTTTTATTGTATATTTTTATTTCAAAAAATGTAATTATGAAATCAGGGATATTTTTTGTGTATATAGCTAGGTATTCCAACTTTATATGCTTCAAATAATTGTTCTGAACACATCAGCATGATTTCTGTCTTTCATTTTCATTGTTATTGTACATTATCCATCCCTGAGGGAGATACACCTGGTGGGACCCAAAAGAAGGGCCTTCTCCATGGTGGCTCCCTCTCTCTGGAACAGCATTCCGCAAGAGTTTAGAATGACCCCCCCACTCTAATTCTAATTCTCTAATTCACTCTAACCCCCCACAGTACCTCTAACTAGGCACTGAAAACCTAGTTCTGCCAGCGGGCCTGGGGAATCCAGAGCGGGATGGAGCCCATTAAATGGCTCTTGTGATCTGCTGTCACCAGGGTGGGGTGGGTGGGGGATGATTTTATTATATTATACTATATTAATTTATTTGATTCTTTTTATTAGTTTTATTGTTTTAAATGTTTATATTTTGTATAAATGTTTAAATGTTTTATATTCTGTAAGCCGCCTTGAGTCGCCATGGGCGAATAGGCGGCAATCTAAATTCAATAAATAAATAAATAATTATCTGATTTTAGAGGCAAAGGAGAGCCAGTAATAGAGTTGAGTTGGACCTCTTGCCGCCAGCTTCTGTATCAATCTATAGCTACCATTTTAGCTCATGCTGGCTTTGAATGTGCCCACGAAAGTGTTCTGGAGACTCTGACAGATATCGCTCATGAATACTGCTTGAAGTTCGCCAAACTTCTGCGTTGTGCTGTGGATAGAGAAGCTCGGCTTGGACAGACCCCTTTCCCAGATGTTATGGAACAGGTCTTCCATGAAGTGGGTATTGGCAGCGTGCTCTCTCTGCAGAGGTTTTGGCAACATCGAATTAAAGACTATCATAGCTATGTGCTACAGGTGAGGAAAGACAAGTGAACTGATACTCATCAGAGTAAATGTCTTTGAATATGTCAGCAATAACACCTCATCTTGTTCACATGAATTTTATTTGACTCTTTTATAGTATACTCCTATATACTGTTTAGATAACTAAAGTGCCTCATCCATTATATATGGAATGGAAAAAGAGAGTTTGTATACTACTGTCCCCTTGCTCCCACAGTCCATCTTCCTCAAGTGGCTTGATGTAGATATTGATAAACATGAGATATGGATTTCTTTGTTGTTCTGGGGTAAGCATATATCCTTATGCTACTGTCTGGAAACAATCTTGAAGAAGGAATAGAACCATGTAGTCATTGTGCCACTTCTGACAGCAGTTCTCAGAACAGACATTTTCTATTCCTGAAGATTAAGTTATGCACTTCCAATTTTGACTTGATTAGAGAATGATTCAGCTATAACACGAAGTAATAACAATGTTTTCCAGAATGGTTGTTTTTGTGCCTTCAAGTCAGTTTTTGACCGTTTTCTTGGCAAGATTTTTCAGATGTGGCTTACCCTGGCCTCCTTCCCAGGACTCAGAGAGAGTGACTGCCCCAGGCTCATTCTGGATTCTGGTGGGGGAGTGACAATGAATGTAAACAGGTCTGTTAAATTTGGAGAAGCCCATATTTTCTAACTAAAATATAGTGGGCGAGCATGAAGTTGAGAATTGGTTCTCCCAAAACAGCCCTGGTACAGACATTGAAATTCTTTGATATTACCCAAGACAACTTATTGGAAACTTAAAATGATGCATTTCTCAGGACAAGCATAAGTATTTGATGCCTTTATGGGGCTTTTCCTCATTTCAAATTGGGATTTTTGTTAGAGGCGGTAACGTCTGCTTTCAGGATTTCCTATTATTTAGCATTTATTTTCTAGATTGCTAAATCAAGTCAATACGTGAAAGAAGTGAGTTGGCCAGAGTTTGGTGTAAGATGGGAGACTATATACATGTTTTAATGTATGAGTTCAGTCTGCACCTTATAAGCCATTTATAATCAAAGGACTGTTTATGAAATATTGCATTTGTGTTCTTTCCTGATTTATTTGCTCCTCTCTGCAAGAATCTCCATTATAAGGGTAAAATGTAGATGCCTGATGACTTACCATCCCAAGACTTGAGATTTCTGTTTTGGGATCTTAGCATATTTATCCGTGTTTGGAATTGAGGAGAAGAAAAAGAACCATTTTGAAGACCAACACCCCCCCCCCCCCAATGCTGCTTAGGTAACATCAGATCAAATCAAAAGCATCTGACTTGAATCTCAAATATGATTCCAATAATGGAATTGTAACATACTGTCTAAATGTTACAAAAGAAACAAAATCATCAGCCAAGTTAGGCAACCTTTTCAAAGCCAGGATGTGCACTTTTAAAAATGAATTGCTTGGCCTTAAAGGCTGGCAATTGTATGGCAATGGCATTGTGACATCAATGGAAAAGCAAGGCTGAATTTTGGGGACTTTTGTTGTCTTCTTTGGAATCAGAAGACTTTTAAAAAGTAAATTATACATGCATAATTCAGTAGAATAAACATATTTTTTGTGAGGTTAGCTCTTGGGACTGTATTTAGTTACTTTTTGGAAAATAATACATTTGAAAAATAATTATCCATCTTATGTAGTTTGTTCTGACAATGAATTCAGTGAAAAGGTGAAATATATATCACGCCTATCTGAACTGTGCATTTGTGCAATCCAGGAGCCAGGGATTAATTGCATCAAGACACAAATGATGTGGTTTGTTCGCTGTGCTAAACCTGGTTTCCTTAATCAAGAATGGATAAACTTGAATTGGCTGGTCATGAACCATAGCATATAAATCACAAGAGCCAAGTTCCCATGAATACATATAGCCTCAGAGAAAGAAGCAATGTTATGGCTTAGTGTGCTGGGTGAATGAAGCCTCTGCTTCTCTGTTTATAAGATCCAAGCAAGTCTGACAGAAAAAAAGTTGGGGGCTTGGTGATGAAAATGACATCTTCATGAGGGTTGATTTGTCACAGAGGCAGTAGCTGTGTTATACTTCGTGTATCTAACAATTGATTGCAATCAGGCTGTTCTTTCTTACTCCAGGTTAGCAAGCAACTCTCTGAGGAGTATGAAAAGCTTGTAAACCCTGAGAAGGCAGCAGAAGATTTGAAACCTTTGAAAATCAAGGAAGAACCTGTTAGTGACATCACATTTCCTATGAGTGAGGAGCTGGAGGGGGATCTTGCATCTGGAGACCAGTCCTTGCCTGTGGGAGTCCTTGGAGCTCAGAGTGAACGCTTTTCATCCAACATGGAAACTGAGGCCTCGCCGCAAACTTCTGGTACATATTATTTTATTTTTATTTATTTTTCGCAGACTTATACCTTGCATCAATCACAACTATTTCTAAGTACTCTATGCTCCTAATTTATAGTAAAAAAAGGAAAACAATAAACACAATGGGAAAAATTCCTCACCTATCATACCATATTAAGGAACAAAAATCTACAATGCTATACAAAACTGAATAACTTTTTACCGTAGGAGGGGCTCAGTCTTCATTCTCAAAGGCCTTGTGAAACAGCCATGTTTTAGTAGATTTGTTAAACCACAACAGGTTTGTGCCAGTTTAATATCAAAGAAGATGCTATTCTAGAGGAATGGGTGGGCTACGGTGGAGAAGACCTGACAGCTCTGTTACTTTATGGATAAGTATTTCCAGTGTATGGAAATAGGGTTGATTTTTATTACAAAAATATACTTTATTTGTTTAAGTTGGGATCATCTATCACAGTGATGGCGAACCTTTTTCTTACGGTGTGGCAAAATTGTGCGCCTGCGTGCCCACTCAATATCCCTGCCCATCTGCACATGCTCGTACGACCCCCGATGCACATGCATGCGTGACCCCTCCCCAGACTCCGAAGGCTTTCCTGAAGACTGGGGAGGGTGAAAACAGCCTCCCCGGCTCCCCGGAGAACCTCCAGAAGCGGATCGTTTCTGAACTTCCGATTTCCCAGTTGGGGCTGTTTTTCATCCTCCCCAGCCTCTGGAGGCTTTTCTGAAGCTCGGAGAGGGAGAAAATGGCCTCCCCTTCCCCTCCGTAAATGTGAAAAATTAGCTGGAGCTGACACCTGGCGTGCCACCAAATATGGCTCCACCATAGGTTCGCCATCACGGATCTATCAGAATGATACCCAAATTCAAAGCCTGAAGTTTTTGGGGTACTTTCACAAAATGGCTGCTATAGTAACACCACTAGTTATAAAGACTATCAGTTGTCTTGTGCTTCCTATTGCCATCTCTACTGGGCCATCTAGCCAGATCGTCTTATTCCATCTTATTTTTGCACTTGGCATGAACAAATGGCGAAACTTCAAAGGTCCAGGCTGCAGGCACTCCTTAATTTTATCTTTTAAGAAAGTTCATGGGTCCAATATGAAGCCTAGATGCATTTTGAAAAATATATATAATAGAAGTTGTGCTTTGCTCTCTGGCATTTCAGCGTTTAATTTTTTGAGTAAAACAAATTGACATACTTTTGTATTATATTAAAAAATGAGATGTCCATGGGCATTTTGGTACATTTTGGGACTTTGATAACTCTGGGTTCTCCAGTTCTAGCTGAAGGTTGTGACTATATTGTGGTGCTGGTAGAAAGGAGATACTGGGATATCAATGTAGCAGTTTTATCATTTGTCACACTAGCTTGTCTATTAAGCCTTGAAATGTTATTTATTTTTGGAAGGTAAAGGCAAGGTTAGAGGACAAAGTCAATAATCACTTTTCTAATTAAAACAGCTAGGAAAAACAACCCTACAGCTCAACTGAAGGAAATTGCTAATGGTATCTTTTGTGAACTGGCCCTTAAAATGTTAAATTCGCTTCTAGCCGAATTAAATTTCTAGTGTTAGATAAACTTAGCTTGGAAATTGGATGTTAACAAATGCTATGTCTTTATAATTTTTTAAGCCCTAAGGAGTTGTGATTTGGATTTTAATGCTTGCTGGCTCAGAATACTTGCCATCTGTCCATTTCTTGTACTTATAAGCAACACACTTTAAAATAACTGCTTAGGCTGCCTTAACACAGAAACTAAGCTGTAATATGATTTACAGACAGTCCTTGACTTAAAATCACAATTGAGCCCAAAATTTCTGTTCCTAAGAAGAGTTCTTAAATGAATTTTACCCTATTTTAAGACATTTCTTGCCATAGCCGTTAAGGGAATCACTGCAGTTGTTAAGTTAGTAACAAATTTTAAGTTAGGGCCCAAATTTTGATCATGTGACCATGGGAATGCTGCAATGGTTGTAAGTGTGAAAAATGATCAGAAGTATTTGTACTTTCAGTCTTAAGCGTTCAAATACACATTCAAGCATGCATGCAAATATGGGGAAGACGTTATGGTTTACACTGTATGATGCAGAAATAATGTCATCTTCTGTTTTCTTAGAAATGCATTGAAAATTTTAATTTAACCAGGGATGTCTAAACTAGAGGTCCCCAACCCTCAGGCCATGGCCCACTACTGGGCCATAGACTGTTCCAAACCAGGCCGTGGGAAAAATGGGCAAGCACATGCACGCAAAGCTCACTTGTGCAAGCGGAGGGCGCTTGCATCCATGTGTGAAACACTATTTGTGCAAATGGAGCTCACTTTGTGTGTGAGTGCAAGCTCCTTCCATTTGCTTGCGAAGCACCATTTGTGTAAGACGAGGGTGCACACGATAGTCTCAGAAATGGAGCTGCCTGTGCCTGCCACTCACCCCTCCTATCACGCTGGGCTGGGCCACCAAACTGGAAAGGTTGGTGACTGCTGGTCTAAATATTTTTTTGGAGAGAATCCAGCTGTAGGGTTGCTAAAGTTGACACTGAGTTTTCTATAATGCCTTAAAAATGTACTCTGAGGGAAATGGTGCAGCCAAGTATTCCTGGATCATTTGGGAGCTATTCACAGATTGCTTGATGTGAGTGTTTGATGTTAATATGTTGGCACTATATTAAATATAATTATCCAATATTAGATTAATGATTATTAAACATGTAGAAGTTCTTTTTTTTTCTTGATCCTTGTTTTCATTAGATGGCCCTTGTTATGGTTGCAACTAATCCTCTGCATTGTACTATTTGGATACATTTATTTAATATATTAAAGTGATACAACGTGGGCATGTTTTAGGACCATTCTGAAGATTTTCAGTTTTGCATCTTTTACTGATTGATAAGAAAGCCTTTCCTTCCTCCTTCCCTCCATTTCTCCCTCTCTCTCCCTCCCTCCCTCCCTCCCTCTCTCCTTCACTCCCTCCCTCTTCCAGGTGGTGAGGTGAACACTTCTCCTCTTTGGAACTTGGCCCCAGTAAAAATGGAACCACAAGAGAATGAAGAAGGTAACGTTCACGGACACCATGGAGTCCTAGGTGGTGATGTATTTGAGGAGCCAATGTCAGGTATGAGTGAAGCTGGGATGCCACAGAGCCCAAATGGTTCTGAAAGCAGTTACGGTTCTCATTCCGCTGATAGTTTGATGGGCTCTTCACCGGTTTTCAACCAACGCAGCAAAAAGAAGATGAAGAAGATGTGAATTATAGCTGGGAAGTTCTGAGAATGTGAACTAATTCAGAAAAAATTGGACTGTTATCAAGAAAATAATGTTTGAGTTGATGGATTTGGCAGGTTGTGATTACCGTTCTACCTGAGAGACTTTCCACCAGCTGAAGGTCTAGATGGCTTTCAGTGGAGCAAACACCCTACAGTGACAGTTTTGGCAAAAAAGAGGTGTGGCTTTTGGTGAAAAAAGATCAATTCTGATTACCCATGGAATCTTGTAAACCAGTGTAGTTTCTGGTCAGTTGGATTTTAAGTAGTTTAAGCAATGGTGCAAATTGAATTAATGGTAATAATTTAATAAGTGGTGACACTATCTTTAACTTGAAGAGTGGAAACTATGGAAGAGGCATGAGGTATTACGTCGTAATGGAAATCCGTAAATTCCATTTCACTTTTGTTACATATTATACTTTTCATTTTTGACTATGAATTTATACTTTGAAGAACAGGTTTTTAATACAGAATTTTTGTTCCAATATAATTACTATTACCGTTGGTTTTTGCTCAAAATCATGGCTGATACCTGCTTTTCCTTTTAATGAACTAACTCACCATATTTAAAACTAATACAAACTAGTGAATTTTATGTATTTATGGTTTCTATGTTGTTTTATGTTTTTAATATTTTTATATTTTGTTATATAGTACATATATTACTTTGGTCTATGATTGCTGCAGTAAAAAGAACTTTATGAACTATATGAAGCACTTTTTAAAAAAAAAAATGTGCATAATTTTATTTTCTTTATGCTAGTCCAGAAGGCCAATTTACTCAGAACATTCATCCAGCTCTGCATACAAATCTCCTATGACTTATTTCTTAATTCTTTTTTACTTGCACTCTGAATATATAATTGAACCTAAATTGAATGCAGCTGGGAGTAAACTTTGAAAGATATGACATCTTCAAAACCACTTTTAGTGAAGTTATATTATAATGTACTATTCCTTTATAAGTTTTTGTTTGTACCGTTGATGCGCAATGCTAAATATATTTGATCTGTGGAGGATTTGTATGATACATGCTTTTAATTATTGCTTTTTTTTAACCTACTCTTGGACATCATTTTTTAAAATAAAATTTCCCATTTTTGATCACATTTTGCTTGATTTCCTATGATTTGAGGTTTCGAGAATCTTTTTTTTATTGTACCAGATAAAAATTAATCTTTAAGGCTTAAATATTTTGTGTAGGCTATTGTTCAACTACTGACATTTTAAGAAGTGCTTAATTAAAAATGGACTTGAAATGAATGCTTCCTAATTATGTAAGAGGTTTCATTTAATAAAAATAATAAATATTTAATGGAAATCCTGGAAGGAAAAACTTTTAAAATTGTTATCTTAAAATACATTTTGAAATTATATTTTTATAATTTCTATAAGATCTTTTTTTGAGTGCTGGAACTTTTAATAAAGCAAGTTTTCAGAGCAAGCAAGGACAAGGTGAATGTATACTACAAGAATAGGATGAGGGAGGTCATGAAAATTTCATGCTGAAATTACCTTCTTGGAAGTTTCTAAAACTCTTAATCTGCAATAAATCCGCCTTTCTGCTTCCAAGTTGATGATAATGACTGGATTAAACTCTTATCTATTACTTCCTTCACAACTCTGCAAGAATAGACAGTCAATATGGTGCTTATTGAATTGTATCAAAACTCACAATTGTCTGAGGTTCGAAATATAACCTGGCAGGTACTCTTATCTGGGATTTTTGTTATCTACTTTAGAAGGACGGATAGGATTTATACTGCCTTAAACACAATAAATATCTTTAAAAATTGCTGAAGCTGTAGGTTACAGAAATGCTGAGGATTCTTTTAATTCTTGTTAGACTTTACTCATAGAACTACAATTGTTCTTTCTGTAAGGGAAGGAATGATGGTGCAAGTAACTTAAATCTGTAAGATAGAAATACCACTGTCTGGTATCATTTTGTGAGACCACACATTAAGCCACAATATTGTTTACTTTCATTGTAAATAACTATTTCATTGAACGATGCACAACTGTCTAGAATCTTGCAATAGGCTAAATCCATTTTTTGCCGCTTCTGGAACTTTTCAGACCCTGCAAAATTCCAGAGGCAAAATGGTGATCTTCAGTGGGAACATTTGATGGTAAAACAATTTAACCAGTAAAAATAACTCCACCAAGCTTCTGGGATTTCAAGATCCCTATTTTGTTTAAACTCCCAAATTCCTAAAAATGGAAGAGCGGAAAATGTCTGCTGTACCAACTTTGATGACATGCAATTGCCATGCTTCTCTCTCCTCTTGTGACCCTCAGAGTCTGAAAATAAGGAATAAGCAGTCTCTGACTGAAAAGGTCGTCCCCAACAACAGCACAAATAATGGCTAACAAGCATTGATTGGTGGTTTTATGGGCCAGAAAAAAAACTATGCTGTGCATTAGTACAATTTGATGTGCCTTGTTTTCTTATACCAAAAAAATGGTTTGCAACCCTAACCATAATCTGTTCCACAGGTTCAACATGTGTGCCAATCTCTAGATCATTCTCCTAATGGGATTCTTGTAATGTGCTTTATATGGAGTGTGCCCTTGACATTTTTTTGGAGCTGCAGCTGGTCCAGAATTCAAAGTTCTGAGCATTTCACAATGCATCCATGTAACACCTCTACTCCATAAGGTGCACTGGATCCCAAAGACTTTCTAGATGCAATTCAAGGCATTGGTTATTGCTCATAGAGACATATTAGGTGCAAGCCAGATTATTTGCAGGTCTACTTATCTCTGCTGCCAGAACTGACAGATTTGGCATGGTCTGTGGTGTCCTATCAGATAAAATAATCTTAAGTAATTAATGCCTTCTCTGTTGGTATGCTGCCTGAGGAACAGCATTCTCCCAGAGATCCAGATGGCCCTGACTTGGTGGGTCTTCCATAAGGTTTAAAGATCTGAATGTTCTCACAGGCAATTGGGCCAAGAGTACATGAACTCGCTAGATGAGCACTTTGTAATGATCATAGTAATTGAAATGGTATGGCTCTTTGGATCCCAAGTGCATGATACAATATACCGTATTTTTTGGAGTATAAGACACACTTTTTTCTCCCAAAAACCAGGGAGAAAATCTGGGTGCATCTTATACACTGAATACAGCATTTTTGGTTTCCCGAAAACCTGCCCCCACGCATCCTGTTTTTCGCAAAAATGGACACGCAGAGAGTTTGGGAGGCCTGCAAAGTACTTCTGGGGGCTGGGGAAGGCAAAAACGAGCCGCTTTTTTGCTCATTTTTGCCCTTCTCAGCCCCCAGAAACACTCTACAAGCCTCCCAAAGCCTCTGCACGCCCTGTTTTTTGCAAAAAAATGGGCCATTTTTTGCTCATTTTTGCCCTTCTCAGCCCCCAGAAACACTCTACAAGCCTCCCAAAGCCTCTGCA